TTTTCTTCAGGGTGGTGGCAGAGGTAGGCCCTCGTGGGGGAGCTTGGCTCCCAGTCATGCTGCAGGCATCTCCTGTTATGTGAAGAGCAGTCGTGGAAGCAAAAGTGTTAAGACACTGCAGCTTCAACAGGGGCTGCGTAAGGGGAGGGTGGGATGGTTGAACACTGGCATGAACTGGTGCTGAACCAGCTCCTTCATCTGGAGGAACAGCAAAGCTCCATGGTGTGGAGCTTCACACTGTTCTCTCAGCCAGCTGTAAAGCAGGTGGGTGAGAGCAGAACGAGTGCCTGATGCCTGCTTTGTGCACTGCTCCCCTCGTGCCAGATCAGGTGGTTTCTGGCTGGTTAGTTTGGGTTTTGGCTGATGGAAGTCATGGGTGTTGCTGAAGCGAGGGCTGCCTTTCAGTTTGCAGATGCGCGGCTGATAAACCAGCTGGTGGTGCTGCTGCTGCAGAGGAGTGACCAGCTCTATGAGATCCCAGCCTTTAAAGATGACGTGTACAGGTGAGGTGGGACAGGGGGGCCAGCCAAGCTCCCAGCCTTTCTGCAGCCTGGCATCCCAGGGCAGCCCAAGAGCCTTTTCAGTTGTGCCCTGGTCCCCGCTGCGACACATCTTTGGAGAGGGCACCTTCAGCCCTGCTGGAAACATCCTGACTGTATGGCCATTGTGCCAGTGGCCAGGTGGTGCCAGCACCTCCTCAGTTTGGTGATGACCACCTTGCCCATGGTCTGAGCTCTGCCCGTGTCTCTCCTCCAGGGTGCTGAGCTCGCAGCTGGTGATGCTCTGCAAGCTGCGCCCTGCGCTCGTCGTGGAACTGTCCACGGAGATTTTGGAGTTCTCGGGAACAGTCGGCAACATCCAGAACAAGGAGGCCATCTTCAGCCACCTGGTAAGCAGGGCCTGCCTGCTTCTGCCACAGGTTACTCCAGCTGTGGTGCAATCTGCTGATCACCTTCCCTTTCCTCATCTCTTCGGGATGAGGTTCAACAAGGCCAAGTGCCATGTCCTGCACTTGGGTCACAACAACCCCCTGCAGCTGGGGGCAGAGTGGCTGGAGCTGCCTGGCAGAAAAGGACCTGGGGGTGTTGGTCGACTGTCAGCTGAACAGGAGCCAGCAGTGTGCCCAGGTGGCCAAGAAGGCCAACAGCATCCTGGCCTGTATCAGGAACAGCGTGGCGAGTAGGGCCCGAGAGGTGATTGTCCCCCTGTACTCGGCACTGGTGAGGCCTCACCTTGAGTACTGTGTCCAGTTTTGGGCCCCCCACCATAAAAAAGACATCGAGGTGCTGGAGCGGGTCCAGAGAAGGGCAACAAAGATGGTGAGGGGTCTGGAGCACAAGTCTTATGAGGAGAGGCTGAGGGAACTGGGGTTATTCAGCCTGGAGAAGAGGAGGCTGAGGGGAGACCTTATTGCTCTCTACAACTCCCTGAAAGGAGGGTGTAGAGAGGTGGGGGTCGGTCTCTTCTCTCAAGTCACAGGCGACAGGACAAGAGGAAATGGCCTCAAGTTGCGCCAGGGGAGGTTCAGGCTGGATATTAGGAAAAATTTTGTCACTGAAAGGGTTATCAGCCATTGGAATGGGCTGCCCAGGGAGGTGGTTGAGGCACCATCCCTGGAGGTGTTCAAAAGACGGGTTGATGTAGTGCTGGGAGGTCTGGTTTAGTGATGATGCTCCTTGTTTGTTGTGCGGGTGTCTATTTTTGTCAGTTAGGTTGACGGTTGGACAAGATGATCTTTAAGGTCCCTTCCAACCTAGAAGATTCTGTGATTCTGTCCTAGCACTAACTAATTCGATTAGTTTAAAAATTACACCATTCCCTTTCCTTCTGCTTGCTCTGAGCACGTCTGCCTTTGCTTCAGGTGTGGGCTGTTGGGGAGTACCTGTCTGTGTCCTACGACAAGCGCTGCACCGTGGAGCAGATCAGCCGGTTCTTTGAGACTCTGGAGGCCATGCTGTTTGAAATCACCCAGCTCCGGCCCCTGGCCAGCACCCCCAGCTACGCCCCCCGTGCCATCAGTGTCCTGATGGCCACCTTGACCAAGTTGGCAGCTCGCAGCCAGGACTTGATCCCCAGGTGAGGAGGGAGGGTGGGGAAGGCCAAAGGGTTGAAACGCGCAGATCTCGTGGTTCCAAACGCAGATGTTTGCTAGTGTTAAATCAGCAAGTTTGGCAACTGTTGGAACCTGAAACTGAAACGGGGCAGAGGAAGCAAGCTGTGGAGGAGCAGAGTTTGGGGAAGTGGGTTTCATCTGCTGACCAACACTCTGTGCATCAGGAGGAGGGGGTGGGTAGCATCTGATGTTCACCTATAACAGTCTTTTGGAACACACAGGCTTAAATAGGGACCTTGCTAGGTGGAGAGGGCCTGCCAACTGATGTCCGTGTCCTTCTCTCCTGCAGAGTGTCCATGTTCCTGTCCAAGATGAGGACGTTTGTGCAGAACCCTGCTGTCACCTCTGTTTACTCTGAGGAGGACCTCGAGGAGATCCTTATCCGGGCAACTGAGCTCATGAACCTACTGAAGATGCCGAGTGTGGCTCAGTTTGTGTTCACGCCGCCCGTGGACGTGGGCAGCACGCGGTTTCAGAGGGAGGTGAACGAGACCCTGCCTTTTGCCCTGAGGATCGTCACCCGGCTCCTAGAACCAGCTCCCAGCTTCATGCCAGGGTGAGGGCCTGAGGTTTCTGAGAGGTTCTGGCCTTTATTGTAGCATGTCAGGCACCGCTGATGCTCAGGGCTGAGGCCCTGCTCTGGACTGGGAATGAGGAACAAATGATTGTGAATGAAGCAGAAAAGAGGAATAAGCAGAGCTGAGGCAGCTCTTCTGGTCTGGGGCTGTTTGTATTTCTGTCTCCTAGCACCCGTTGCTTCTCTGTCTCCTAAGCTTGGCTTATCTCTCCCTGGCCAGTACGGATTGAAAATCCCAGTGGATTTGTGTGAATGTGGCAGGAGGGTGAGTGCACAAATTAATACCCTGCCAGCTCATCATGCCCCTTTGGAGAGGTACTTCTTCCCTCCCCTCCTCCAAGTCATTTTTCCCTCCCCGTGCCCTCGCTATGCCCTTGCTATGCCTGTGCTGCTTTTATTGCCTTTTTTTTTTGCCAAGCAAAGGTCTGTGCGAGGTGGAGAAAGCAGAAGTGACTCCATTAAGTCTGCTGTGAGCCCTCGCTGCTCTTGTGTCCCTACCATCAGAGCCAACGTGTCAGTGACTCCATTAAGTCTGCTGTGAGCCCTCACTGCTCTGGTGTCCTACCATCAGAGCCAACGTGTTGAGATCCAAGAGACAGTTACCAGGCAGGAGCTTTAGAGAGATTTATTGATCCAGTTTATTTTTGACACTGAGAGCATTTCTTAACATACATCAGCCCCGTGTCAAACAGGCGCCATGCTGTGTTCTGTGTCTGCAGGAGAGGTTTATACACATTGGAGCTGTACAGTATTAACAAATGAGGGAAGTGAATACGTCCCACTGCTCCTCCCGGGAGAAGCCAGCCCTCATGCACGCTAATGAATAGCTGGGTTTATTTACAACCTGTTTCCATACCTGGCTGCACTGTGGAGTGCAAACCAAGCCTCCCCCGAGCCCTGGCTCCCGGGCAGAGGGGAGTGGGGAGTGCATGCAGTTCGCCGTGGGGCTCTAGGAAGCCCCACTCCTGCCCTACAAACCTGCCGAGCTCCGTGGAGGACGATGAAGCCACCAGAGCTACTTGATTTAAAGTCCAGAGAATCACCGGGAGCCCTGTGGGGTCCTGGGCCGTTGCTGGGTGCCTGGTATGGCCGACTCGGTGGCAGGAGGGATGGGTTGTTCACAGTCCCTGCTGGGGTGGCCCCCCCCGGGCCCGTTGGCGTGAGCGTGGCCTCGCAGAGAAGCAAGGCACTAGTGTCTTGGTCAAAGTCTCTCTTGCCCCACAAAAGGCAAGCCAGGCTGCCTTGAAATCCAGTCGTGGAGCGTTTCCCCTGTTTGGATTATTCCAACATCTCTTTTCCTTCTGCAAAGTGCCAGATTTAAGGACGGAAACCGCAACTCCAGCAGTGAAGTATGTGAGGTTTAATTAAGGCCAACCCTGTTAAGCATCCCTTTTTTAGCATCACAATCCTCGGAGCGCTGTTGTTGTGAGATAAACCCTGTGAACACCTGATTTGCTGCCGGAGCCCAGACGGTGCTGGTTTAAGCGCGGGGTGTGATGTAGGGCTTTGCAGCAGGCTCTTTTAATAGGGTTTGGCTAAACTAGGTCTCGGTATCTCTCTATATGTGGAAATCAGGTCGGGTTTATCCCGTTAATGTTGCTAAAAGCAGAGGGAGGGTGTGCAGGGACCGGCCAGCCGCACGGTGGAGCTGCCAGCTCGGCGCCGCTGCCTTTGGCAGGAGATCCACGGAGCTGTTTCTGGGACAAGTCAAGTCTGCCCTTTCTCCAGCACGGACTTTTCGGAGATGCTCAGAGCTGGACAGGAAAGAGGACAGCCGTACGGTGGCCTGGCAAAGCTCCAGGATGGGGAAATTCTCCACTGGCCAACGCTCCACGCTGCTGGGTCAGCCCCGGGGCCTTCTGCCAGGCTGGTGGTGCCAGAGCAATAAATCTGCCCTGTGAGCGAAGGCAAGAGAGTCCTTCTCTTCAAGAGGCTCCCCCCAGGACTCGCAGGGAACTGCTGGTGGTGTCAGCCCTTTGCTGGGGCTGCTTCCCATCCCAATGCAGGGCTGGGGGCAGCTTTCTTGTAGCCCAGCAGCAGAAAGGCACCTGACTTAGGGTATGGCACCACGGAACTTCACTCCTACCAACGCATCCTGCTTGGAGTCCCGCTCCTGGGGGCTTCTGCTGCCTTCACCACCCCTTTTCCAGCCTGATGTGCCAGCACCTCAGGTGGCTGCTGCCACAGTGAAGCCCAGGCCAGCCCCACATGCTCATCTTTAAATCTTGAAGGTGTTTTGATGCCTTCTGCCTGCCAATGGGAAGGATCACGCAGGGCTGCCAGCCCAGAAGAACGGGGGAGCCTGCCCACAGCCCCTCGTTGGGGGAGCACTCCCTTCTTACCCCCTGCCAGAGGGGATGAAGGAACAGGAAAGCTCCTCAGAAGGACAACATAGGGTATAAAATGAGGCCAGGCAATTGATCAGGAATGATGCTCCCAGCCAGTGTGGTGGGAGAAGCGTGTACCACCCTTGCCTGTCCTTTCATCCACTGCAGAACCGGGCCAAGGTGTCAAAAAGCAAATTGAGGGCAGTTGTGGAGTCCTGGTCCTCCCTCTTGTGCTCCAGGCTCCCCAAGGTCAGCCTTAACCAGAGCTGCACCCACGAGCTGCTGCAGAAGGACCCTTGTACCACAAGGACTAGGAGGAAGAGGAGGTGGAACTGATTTTTTTGGCTATTTCCATGTCCGATTTGGCCACCAGAAACCGCAGCTTCTTCCCTCCGGAGCGGATGAGGTCCACAGCGCTGCAGAGAGCGGCAACGGGGAGACAGAGAGGGGGTGAACTCTGGCTCCCTGTGGGAGCAAAAAAGCTGAAAACCTGGATTTGAGCATACCAATACTGGCCCGGGGCCCTCTGGCAAGGTGCCACTCACCTTTGGTAGTCTGCCCCGATGAGACTGGTGCCGTTGACAGCCAGGATGCGGTCCCCGATGGAGAGCCTGCCGTCGGCGGCCGCGGGGCTGTCCTCGATCAGGGTGCGGATGTAGATCCCCGGGGAGCAGAGAGGAGTGTGCTGTTGGCAGGGAAAGGCAGTGAGTGACCAGCCAGGGCTGGGGGACACGAAAAGTTTGGAGTCCCCCAAGGGCTGAGCTCCCCGTAGTGGGTGCCTGATGCCCGGTGGGACCTGGGGGACACCACGGCTGGGTGCTGGGGATGGTGTCACTAACAGGACCGGGCAGGAAACACAAACCTTCAGTTTGATATCAATTTATACACAAAAAGGAGAGGTGGGGGCAATCTTCTTGTTCAATTTTCATTAAGAGTAAAGCACCGTTAGCCCACAGCCATCTTGGGATGGGAGCTCTTTGCTCATGGTTGTCTCAAGGGCTCGGTGATGCCCTGTTTCCTACTGACTAATGTCCTGCTGTGAAAAGGCCACTTAGTAATGATGATCCACCTCACTGGTTGCTGGTGGAGCTGTTCTGGCACCCTTCAAGCCTCCCTGCTCCCCTCCATTTCCCTCGCCACCCACTGAAGGGTGGAGGAAAGACCTCGGCTGAGTCATTTTCCTTCCAGAGGAGCGCTGAGCCCGTTTGCTCTCTCCAGCTGCAGGACAGCTGTGATGGACTTTGCGTGCATGGCACACCTCCCAGGAGCAGGGATCTGCTTCTCCCTAGAGATCACTCTGTGCCTCATTTTCTCCAGGAGATGACGCCTAGCTCCTGGGGGAAGCCATTTGCTTCTTCATTGGCTTTTCTTGGGGTATAAACCACGTCCCAAGTGTCCCACTCTGGTTATTTGGAGGGGCACCAGCCCTGTCCCGTGGTCGGTGCCAACTCACCAAGCCGTCGATCAGCCCCATCCCCAGCCCGATGGGTCCTCTCTCCAGCTCCACCACGAAGACGTAGCAGAAGTCATCGGTGGCAGAGCTGCGGCTGGAAGACTCTGGCGTGGGGTAGTCGTAGGGGGTGGGCGAGCATCCTGGCAGCAGAGACACCAGCTTAACCCTCTGCCATCACCCAAACCCAACCTCACACCCTCCCACAGAAACCAGCCCCCCCAGAACCCCATCAAAGCCATCCCAGAGCTGGTTTCCTACTGGGACAGGAGCTGGATGAGATGCTCCGTTGGCTCCCACCTGCCCCGTCCCCTGCAGGAACCGTGCGTGCGGGGAGGGTTGGGAGGAGAAGGGCAGCAAACATCCTCCTGCCCCAATCCTGCACCCCCAAAACAGGGCAGCACCAGCTTTTGGTACCTTCGGGGGTGCTGCCTTTGGTGCCGTTCATCCCGTTCCTCCGGGGGTCCTGCAGCCCTTTGCCGGTGCCTTGTGGGGACTCTGGGCTCCCGGAGTCGAAGTTCAGGGGGGTGGTGGGGGGTGTCAGCAGGCAGGAGGGGTCTGTGGGGGCCGTGCCAGCCTTGGGGGCCGGACCCCTGCCCAGCTGCAGCTGCTTCAGCTTCTCCTGGAGCTGGGGCTCGCCGGTGGGGGGCTCGTAGGGGCAGCCGTTGGTGGCCAAGCAGAGTGGGGGGGCACCTTCTGCCTCTGGCTCAGTGCAGCCCCCCAGGGAGCAGAAGTCCTCCTGGGTGATGATGTTCCCCAGGACGGTGGCCGGGCTCTCGCTCACCTCCAGGACTTCTGGCGTTGCACATGCCTCTTTCTTAAGAAGGAGAAAAATCCCCTGTGGGACCCCCCACCCTGCGGGTGCTTCTCACCCCCTTCCTGCACCCCCCCAGCAGGCAGGAGAGCTGCTGGCTCCAGCCAAAGCCTTGGCAATTCAGACACCACCAGGGCTTGTCCTGGCTTCCCAGCACAGCTCCCACAGCCCAGTTTTGCAGGCAGGACCATGGTGGGGACACTCACAACCAGCCCGGAGGGGACTCTGGTCATGTCCCTACTGGGGAATGTCATTGGAGGGGGGTGTGAGGAGGGCACAGCTCCTCCCGTGGCCCCAGAGCTGGGTGACACGGACCCCCAGGGTGATGGGAGGAGGTGGCAGGGCCTGAGGGTGCTACAGGTGATGGGGACAGGGTGGGAGAGGAGACGGGGACCTGCTGGAGTGACATCCTCCCCAGGGAGCTGGATGGCAGTTGAGCTTAGCACCCGCAGCACGTCTCCCTGTGCTTTATAGGCATTAGCTAATTAGTGCTGTGGTGCCTGGGTGCAGAGGGCAGGGAGGATGGTGTGGGACGTGCGGGGAGAAGGGGAGCACTGCCTGCTGACACCCCCTTCTCCTCCCGCCTCCCCGCTAACGAGATTGCCCGGGACCAGCTTGTCCTTCCCGCTCACCTTCCCGCACCCCCCCGGGCTGGGGGATTAGCAGCACTAATCCTTCCAGCAGCTCTACGGGAGGGCATCACCACAGCTCCGGGCTGCAAGGGGGGGCAACAAGCCCTTGGTGCTGGGCTTGGAGGGGCTCCAGAGTGGACCTGAGACCCTTCTGCCCACCCAGGAGAGGAGCAAGCCCCTTCCCTGGGGTACAGGCTACCTTTGGGGGTGCCGAGCATGGCCCCTCGCCGGCGTGGGGGCTCTTGCTCTGCAGGCTCCAGAGGAAGTGGCGGATGTAAAGGAGGTGCCGGTAGATGTTGTCGTCCAACGTCTCCACCTCCAGGTCCACTTTGAAGCCCCCACTGGGCAGGATGATGGGCGGGTGGTTGTCGAAGGACTCCAGCACCTCATCTGAAAGGCAGAGGGAGGGAGAATAGTGCTGGTTCAGGAGGCACCCCACATCTCCATCCCAGCTCTTGGCCACGTGCGGTCTCCCAGCCAGGATGAGGAACATGAGGAGCTGCGAGGCAGCAGCACCCCTCACTTGGGGAACGCAGAAAAGGTCCCAAACCCTTCTGAGAGCACTTTGCATCCTCTGCAATACCCAAATCATGGGGCCGTGGTTATTCCCGATTGCTGGCATTTCCACAGGAGCCCCAGGGAGGGGAAGGGAATTAATTGCCTGGTTGGTTTGTACATAAAAACCTTGGAGGGAGCCTGTGGGTGACCGGAGCAGGGTGACCAGAGCGGGGCTGAGCAGGATGGCAGGGGCTCACCGGGCTGGAAGGTGGCTGAGCTCTCCTCCTCGCCGGGCTGCCACGCTGCGATGCAGCCCACGTCCATCACGGCCTGGCACTGGCTCAGCACCCGGTGGAGCTGCGCGGGGCTCAGCGCAGGGAACTCGGCTCGTAGGGATGGCCAGGACATCTGAGAGAGGACACAGAGTGGGGTGAAGAGCAGAGGCCAGGACCCACTTTCTCCCAGGGGCAGGAGCTCACGAGGGGGATGAGAGGGAGATATTGGGCAAGACGGAGTGAGCCTGAGCATCCCCCCCCTTGACCCTTGTCCAGGAGCTGGTTGAAGAGCAGGGTGTTGGAGAAGAAGAAGAGGTAGGTGAACATCTGGGAGGTGATCTCGGGGTGCACTTCGTACTGGCGGAGCAGGCACCCCTTGGTACTGCCCACCCAGATTGCAGAAGAAGGGCCACATCGGTGCAGGGACCCCCAACTCCTGAGCAGGGTTTCTCCCGCCCACCCCACCATTGCCAGCCCCCAGCACCCCTCACCTGGACCAGCTGGGAGCCGGGCATGGCCAGCAGGTTGGCCACGCTGGCGAGTTTGGCAAAGAACTGCTGGGCCAACTGCTCGAAGCCGGCCCCACGCAGCCACTCCAGCAGCAGCCGCACGCTGGCCCGCAGCTTCACCCCCTGAGACCAGTGGAAGCAGCCGAGAGAGGAGCCTGCGGAGGCAGAGCATCCATCAGCAAATGTTGGGACGTAGCCCCCTTGTCCCCCCATCCTTCCGCCGGAGCCCAGACCCTTCCCCAGGGCAGCAAAATAACTCCAGGTTAACATCCCCAGCATCCCCTCCTATGAGGACAGGCTGAGAGAGTTGGGGGGGTTCAGCCTGGAGAAGAGAAGGCTCCAGATAGACCCTATAGCCCTTTCCAGTCCCTAAAGGGGCTACAGGAGAGATGGGGAGGGACTCTTCATCAGGGAGTGGAACAACAGGACAAGGGGTAACGATTTTAAACTGAAAGAGGAGAGATTTGGATTAGATATTAGGAAGAAATTCTTTGCTGTGAGGGTGGTGAGACACTGGAACAGGTTGCCCAGAGAAGCTGTGGCTGCCCCATCCCTGGAGGGGTTCAAGGCCAGGTTGGATGGGGCTTGGAGCAACCTGGTCTGGTGGGAGGTGTCCCTGCCCAGGGCAGGGGGGTGGAACTCAATGATCTTTAAGGTCCCTTCCAACCCAAACCAAACCATTCTGTCATTCTGTGAGCCCATGGCTGTAACTCCTGGTGTTGGCTGGGCTTCGCCTGGCACTAATAGCAGGCAGTGGGGCCACTGTGTTAATGAGGGCTAACGAGCACCTCAATTACAAAGCAGGCAGTGCTTGTTTATTAACGAGCTGCCCCTTTGAACTGCTCTCAGCCTCCTCTGCTCAGGCTCAGACGGGCAAAGCTCTTACAGGGATGAGGACAGGGCACTTGTGGGGTTAAACCCCTTCTGGGGAGGCAGCAGCTGGGTCTGAGCCTGGCTTCCCCATAACAGCGCTAAGACCTGCCCATCTCCAGCCCCCTCAAGCTGCCTGAAGCCATCTCCCGAGGTGGCACTAGGATGGACTGGAAGGTCTCCCCATGGGCTGGTTCCCCTGTGGGTTACCTGCTCCAGGCTGGGTATTGGAAGAAGACTGACCCTTGTCCAGGAGCTGGTTGAAGAGCAGGGTGTTGGAGAAGAAGAAGAGGTAGGCGAACATCTGGGAGGTGATCTCGGGGTGCACTTCGTACTGGCGGAGCAGGTCCAGGGTGGCCTGGTAGATGAGGACGACCCTGCGGAGCTCCTCGGGCAGCGGGGGGGACGCCCGCCAGCTCTCCCGGCACTCGTTCTGGAAGGGGTTGCACTCCAGCAGGGCAGGGAGGGACACGTACAGACACTGCGGGGAGAGGGGCATCTTCACAGCACACTGACTTTCGGTTGGGTTGGGTTTGGTCTGGTTTTGTACAAGCTGACCCCTTCTGACCCCCCTCGTCCCCCACCAACCCAGCAAACCCCACTGGTGCTGCTCCAGTGCGGGACTGGTCCTGCTCCCCCCCTGCCTCCGTGTGCTCTGGTGTGGTGCAAGTGTTTAAATGTAATAAATATAAAAATATGAATGTGTCTGTCACTTTTAGGAGCCCCAGGTGACAGCGAGGGACAGCTCAGGGATCTGAAAACCAACCAAGCTGGGCAGGAGGGTGTAAGTAAAACCAAGACGGATGGGGACCACCTTTCCCTCTCGCTTTGATGGGAGAGCAGCCCCGAGGACCCACCTCTGCCCGGGTGGAGGGGGGTGAAGAGGAGCATCCCCTGCATCCCTCCTGCCACCATCCTGCACACAGCAGCCTTTCTCCTGCCTCACACTGCCCGCTCTGTTCCCTGCTCCCGATGCCGGCAGGGAACCACGCCGCAGTAATTCAATACTTTTCCTGGGCTGCGACCAAAAAATCGGGGCGCTTCAGCCCAAAGGAAAACACCTCGGCGTGATGCAACTGCCAACAAGTAAGAGCTTAAAGAAAAAAAACCCAAAAAAACTAACACACCCTCCTGGTACAGCCTTGGATGCTCGTGCTGACCCCCTGGGATGCTGCCACCCTTCCCGGGGAGCACGTACCTTGGAGATGTAGTAGACACACTGCTGGAAGGTGTACATGATCACCTCCTCCAGCACCGTCATCGCCTCCTCGCTGGCCGTGATGGTTGAGGAGAAGAGAGACTCCTTGGAGCCTACGGGGTGGAGAGGAGGATGGAGCAGGGGGGGAGCAAACTCGCAGCAGCAAGGCTGAATTCACCGCTCCCCAAATCCCCGGGGTGGGAGCTTTTCGTGCTCCTGGGCTGGCACCACCACCATGGCATCCCCCCAGGAGGGGGAAAGAGGGTCCCTTTGTCCCAAAGGACCCACCTGCCATCTCCCAGGGCTCACAACGCTGCTGGCAACACAGCCTGGCATGAGGGGGGGGGATCTGCCCCACTGCACCCCTCCTTCCAGCAGCCTCTCTGGCCTGGAAGTTTTAACCTGCTTGATAGACCAGTTTTCTGAGGGTGATTTAATCCCTTTTGCTTCTTTTTTTTTAATTTTTTTTTTTTTTTCTGGCACGGCCACAGGCTCACCAGCGAGCAGTTCTGCCTGCACATCCCGGTGCCCCCCCAGCACCCAAAAAGCCACCCCTGAAGCATCAACCACGAGCTGTGGAAAGGGGAGGCTCAGCTCCCAACGCAGCGTGACCTGGCTCTGAAGCTGAGGAGCATCACGGCATCACGCGAGGCTGCTCCTCCCCAGAGATTACCCCAGCCTGCACCACGGAGACGTCCCTGCTGATGAGGATTACGGGGGAGAGGGGGGGTTAAAGGAGCATCTCGGGGGCTTGTGACCAGGGATTAGTGAAGCAAAGTCGTTCCGGCCAGAGAAGGGAGCAGGGCGCTGCATCCAGCCCTACCTCTCACGTCCAGCTCCTCCTCCATGCTCTGGATGTAGGTGGGTGATTTCTGCTGGACGAAGTAGAGGACCTCGATGGCGTTGGCCATCCAGAAGAGGATGTGCTGCAGGTCTGGGAGAAGGTCCGTGATGGTGAAGCGGGACAGGGTGGCAGGGTCCTGGCTGGGGAGACACAGCAGGTGTTACGGCTGCTCTTCCTCAGCATCCCCACTCTGGCTTTTGGGGAGAAAACAGCCATTCTGGGGCAATGCCAGAAAGCATCCCTTCAACCCCAAGCCCAGCACCCCCTTAGGAGGACTCTATAAGGAAAAATCTTGTGGTTCCTGCTCTGTGGGATGGCAAAGGGGACCCTGTGGGGACCGGGCTGGCCAAGGGCCACCTGGCCTTTGTGAGGTGTCACTTTTGGGGGGGATTACCCCTAATACAGCTGAACTGCAGTAAATACTCGTGGCTGAAGAGCAGCTCTCCCAGAGAAATATGTGCTGCTCCTGCCAGCTCTGGACGGTTAAATCCAGCCCGCCTGTGCTGGGCTGTTCCAAAATAAAACAAAATAAATAAAAAGCATCTGGGAAGTTTCTCAACTGCTGAACTGCTTTTTCCTGCTATAGGAAAGGCCTGGGAAGCATCCTCGGAGCTTGTCCTAAAGGAGAGCTCACGGCAAGCACCAACCGCTTCTCCAGATGCTGCTTTGGAGCCTGGATTTTGGGACTGGCTGGGAAGGCAGCCTCGTACCCTGCTGGGACCCAGCGCCCCACGCTGCTGTGACAGCCTCAAAGTGGTGCTCCCCACCCTGGGACACCGTGGGCCACCATCCCTGGATGCACACATGCAACGCGAGCCCCCTCCTCACTCCACAGGGGGGTCTTCAGCATGAACGGGGTGAGACCCCATGCTGGGGCCTTCCCTGCTACATCCCTCGGGGATGCTGAAGCCACACGTGCAAAGCCTTAGCCTGGTCCTGGACTGGAGAAGACCCCAGAGCTGCTTCAGTTCCTATTCCCTGCCCCCCAAGCTCGTTTGCTTTTTCATCCCCACACATTCCCAAGCAGTGGCCTTGCAGGCACCGTGGTGGAAGGACCAGAGAGCTGAATGCACAGGAAAGAGCAGGAATATTCAGTGGGTATCGGTGCCACCAAGGCTGGGAGGGTGTTTTTAGGCAGCTACGGACTCCCCTCATTCATGAAGGAAGAACTGGGTTGAATTCTCCCTGTTTTGGGGCAAAACAAGGAAGGGGGGCAGGTGGCACTTACTGCTGGGACTGCTTCTCAGCCAGCTCCCGCGTCCGCTCCTGGCCAGGGAGAGAAGGGAAAGCCACATGAAAACCAGTGGGACAGCCTGGCACGAGCATCACCCCGACCAGCACTCCCTGCCACAGGGAGAAGCCCCCAGGAGGGGTCCAGCAACACCCCCACCCCACCAACACC